CTGGGACTACAGGCACCCGCCACCACGCCTGGCTAATTTTTTGTATTTTTAGTAGAGACGGGGTTTCACCGTTTTAGCCAGGATGATCTCGATCTCCTGACCTCGTGATCTGCCCGCCTCAGCCTCCCAAATTGCTGGTTTTATGGGCGTGAGCCACCGTGCCTGGCCGGGAGTGGGAGTGTTTTAAGGAGCAGGAAGGGAGTGGTGCCAAAAGTTTCAGATCCTCAGTTGCTCTCCGTCTTCCCCATAGTTTCACGCCATGGATACCTTGCAAAGGAACGGCTATGACCTGGCTAAGGCCATGTCGACCCTGGTACCCCAGGGCGGCCCGGTGCTGTGTCGGGATGAGATGGAGGAATGGTCAGCCTCAGAGGCCATGCTATTTGAGGAGGCCCTAGAGAAGTATGGGAAGGACTTCAACGATATTCGCCAGGATTTTGTAAGTGGATGATGCTAGGAGGAGAGGTGACAGGTGAGGGAACCAGGACCTGGGGCCAGATGCCTGCTCATTCTTCTCCCTCTGCCCCTTAGCTACCCTGGAAGTCACTCGCCAGCATAGTCCAGTTTTATTACATGTGGAAAACCACAGACCGGTATATTCAGCAGGTATCATCTGGGCTGGGGAGGGTGGACCATAGGCTACCTGCTGACCTCTGCCTTTGAAGTTGATGATATTCTCCCTGCTCTGATCCTTCTCTTTCTTTTTTCCTTCTTACAGAAAAGATTGAAAGCTGCTGAAGCAGACAGCAAACTGAAACAGGTCTACATCCCCACCTAGTAAGTGTAGTGGTTAGGGGAGACCAGAGTGTTTTCCTTCCCTTCCCCTAACTTGTGCCTTCCTCAGTGATTGGGGGTGGGCAGGAGGTAGGGTCACATTGAGAGTGGAAATTGATTCTTTTCCTTGACCAGTTTCTTGTTTTTTTCCCTTCTCCTCGCCTTCCCCATTAGCACTAAGCCAAACCCTAACCAGATCATTTCTGTGGGTTCAAAACCTGGCATGAATGGGGCTGGATTTCAGAAGGGCCTGACTTGTGAGAGTTGCCACAGTGAGTTATGGGGGCACTGGGATGGTGGGGATGGGTGGAAGGCCTGCTGTGGCTCAAGAATCTGTGAGGCTCAGGTAGCATGCTTCTTCCCTGTCCCCCTCCTCTCCATGCTCTGCAGCCACACAGTCTGCTCAGTGGTATGCCTGGGGCCCACCTAACATGCAGTGCCGCCTCTGTGCTTCCTGTTGGATCTACTGGAAGAAATATGGGGGACTGAAGACCCCAACTCAGCTTGAGGGAGCCACTCGGGGTACCACGGTAAGGATCAGTGGGGGTAAAAGCAGGGGAGAGCAGTAAGCATATTGATGTGAGCTTAGGTGAGGGCCAGAATATCCAACTCTTTATATGGTGATGGTTTGATGGGCAGGGGGTGCTTGATGCTGGTTGGGGAGACATATAGGCCAAGAGGTCAGTAAAGAGATTAGGCAGGAATAAATTGTCTTCTGCAGGGAATGGAAGAAAGAAGGGAGCCTCAATGCTGATTTCTGCTCTCTCTCTTTCCTATGCTCTTCTTCTAGGAGCCACACTCGAGGGGTCATTTGTCCAGACCTGAAGCTCAAAGTCTCTCCCCTTATACAACCAGCGCCAACCGGGCCAAGCTACTGGCTAAGAACAGGCAAACTTTCCTGCTTCAGACCACGAAACTGACCCGTCTTGCCAGACGCATGTGCAGGGACCTATTACAGCCGAGGAGGGCTGCCCGACGGCCGTATGCTCCTATCAATGCCAATGCCATCAAAGCAGAGTGTAAGGACAGGGAGTGATGGGGCTGGTGGTGGGTTTAGGGTTGCTCTGCCCAGAGACGATTGTTTCTCTGGATGTTTAATAACAGGAGGCATAGTAGGCCACAGGTAATTTTTTAAAGATTAGACTTGGCTTCTGGCCTCAGAGGAGACCTGAATGGTGAAGCCCTTCAGAAGCTTTCATCTTTGTTCTGCAGGCTCCATTCGACTTCCTAAGGCCGCCAAGACTCCATTGAAGATTCACCCTCTGGTGCGGCTGCCCCTGGCAACTATCGTCAAAGATCTGGGTATGGGATGAGGACCAGTGAGGGTGGCATCAGGCTCCCAGTCCGTTCCCTGTCCAACATCTTCTCTCCCCTTGTTTTCTTCTTCCCCATAGTGTCCTCAGAGATTTAGTCTAACAAACTATACTTTTGTTGTTTAATAATTTTTTTTGTAAACTATTCAGTATTACTGTACTGATTTGATAAGGTCATACTGATATTTGAAATACTAGTGATAGCTTGCCAGAACCTTCCCCCATTGCTACTTTTGGGGATGCCCAGGTAAACTGCTGGTCCAGGGGAAGAGATGGAAGTAACAAAGGGGAACTGTGTAGGGAAGAAAAGGTGTGAAAGTTTTCTATTACTTTTTTTCCAGTGGCCCAGGCACCCCTGAAACCAAAAACACCTCGGGGTACCAAGACACCGATCAACAGAAACCAGCTGTCCCAGAACCGGGGACTGGGGGGCATTATGGTGAAACGGGCCTATGAGACTGTGAGTTGACAGAAAGGGGTGGGCCAAGCTGAGTTGGGTGGGCTTTTGTTTCTCATAGGAGTCTGAGAGGGTCCCTTCCCTCATTGTGCCATCCTGCCTCTTTTCCAGATGGCAGGGGCAGGGGTTCCTTTCTCTGCCAATGGAAGGCCTCTGGCTTCAGGGATTCGTTCAAGCTCACAGCCAGCCGCCAAGCGTCAGAAACTAAACCCTGCTGATGCCCCCAATCCTGTGGTGTTTGTGGCCACAAAGGATACCAGGTAGGGAGTCTACCATGGGAGGGGCTGAGAGGGACAGTCCAGGCTGTGAGTGTGGGGAGTAGGAGTTTCAGAGCAAGAGCTCTAGGAAGGTTGTGGATGCAGGGTGGGGATGCTAGAAAAGAATGGGCCAGAAGGCAGAATTGCAGTGTGGAATGTGGGGCTTCACCTGGAGGGCTTAGTGTTCTCTAAGCCTTTTCTGTTTCTCACTTGCTGTTTCTGGCCAGGGCCCTACGGAAGGCTCTGACCCATCTGGAAATGCGGCGAGCTGCTCGCCGACCCAACTTGCCCCTGAAGGTGAAGCCGACGCTGATGGCAGTGCGGCCCCCTGTCCCTCTACCTGCACCCTCACATCCTGCCAGCACTAATGAGCCTATTGTCCTGGAGGATTGAGCACCTGTGGGGGAGGGAGGTGGGCTGAGAGGTAGAGGGTGGATGCCCAGGGCACCCAAACCTCCCTTCCCTTTCGTGTCAAAGGGAGTGAGGAGTAAGGAAGAGAGCAAGTGAGTGTGCGTCCCTGGAGGGGTTGGGCGCCCTCTGGTGTTACAACCTCGAGACTTGTCTCATGCCTCCATGCTTGCTGATGGAGGACAGACTGCAGGAACTTGGCCCATGTGGGAACCTAGCCTGTTTTGGGGGGTAGGACCCACAGATGTCTTGGACAGTTTTGGGGGGAGGGTTTTTTAATTTTTTAAAAATTTTGCCTCCCTTTGTGAAAGGGGATGGGGAGGGGAAGAGTAAACAGATAACAGGTGGTGGTACCTGGTTGGGGGAGGGGGCGTGCACTGCCATGTCTTTTTTTTTTTTTTCCTAATTGGGGGTTTCTCTTTCTGTCCGGTGTCCGGACTATCCTAATTGGAGTTTGAGGCCCCTAAGCTGGCATCAACCCCAGGCCATGCTCGCTCTTTCCTTCCCTCCCCTCCCCCTCCGCCTTTTGTACGCCAGTTCTCAGAAATAAAGATCTTTTGTCCGTTTTTTTAACCTCGGATTCTGTAATTGGTTCTTATAGTAACAAATAAAAAGCTGTTTTCTTCAGCTTCTCCTGGCTCAGCTGTTCTTTGCCATGGGTGTGTGTTGTGTGTGTGTTGGGGGTGTCTTTGACAGGGAAAATAAAGGACAAAGGACAACAAAGGAGGTACAGATGGTTCTTGCCTTGGGAACAGTTTTATGAGATATGCAGCCTGGACCGAGGCGGCTTGCTCCAGCTAGCCTTCTTGTGGGATCCAAACTGCTCCCCAGCTCCCAGTGGTGATGGAGGCCAAGCACCACCTTGGCCCAGATTCCTTCAAAGGAGTTGAGATGAGCTTTCTGGATGACTGGTGGCCTCCATAGGAAAGGAGAATGGGGGTGTTTCTTCCTCTGTTTCCCACCTCTTACTCCCCTCTCCCTTTTACTTAAGGAATTCTGGAAGTTGCTGGCAGCCAGGGTAACATGTATACCACCTTGGTGGTGGTGATGGGGTTATAGGAGGATCTCCTCACCTAGCTGTGTGGTGTATTTGGCAGATGAGAATTCTACCATTGAACCACTCGAGCACCTCTGGGTGTATGTGTACAGCCTGCTGCTTCAGGATCCTCAAGGCCAGTCTCAGCAACTGCCTTGATATCCTGATCCACTGTAGCACCGTTTCCTGCCTGAAAGGTTTGGGACACTGAGATTAGATGCCTGAGCAGGGCCCATTAGAAGGAACACCTTAGGAGAGACAACAAGAAGTTCAGCCTACTATGTGCTCCTTGGGTACTTCCTTTAGAGATGGGGAACAGCCTCGGCAGTTGTGACTTGCTCAAGGTCAAAGACCATGGTGTCTGCCTTAGGTCCACTGCTCTTTGCGCCATTCAAAGCTGTGGGCTGAGCCCATCTGAAAGTCCTCTCCACCTCCTTATGATCCCTGTCCCTAGGGCATCCCCAGCTCCTGTAGTCCCTCCCTGTACTGAGCCTACACCTCGGCGGTGTTGGGAGGAACTGACAATTATACCAGATGGGCTTTGACAGCATTCGCCCCCTCCAGTGTCTTCACTCAGTTACCGGTACTCGGTTTTGTCTTGTCGCACTGCTCTGGGGTGCGCCAGTGGCTCTGGCTCCTCGGGAGTATACCACGCAGCCCACTACTGCGGAAGGAATGGGCCTGGCTCCAGGGACCTTGTGGAGTCCGGAAGGTGCCCGGTGGTGGCAGAGCTCCGCAACCAGGGCTAGAAGCAGTCGCAGAACACCCGTTTTGCGAGAGGACAGGGGGTGGAGGGAGGGAGTAACAGCCCTGAAAAGGTTGGAAGTCCAGGAACAGCCCTGGGCTCCGTGGGGCAAAGGATTGGAAGCCGCCGATCCTCCGCCTTTATTCGTCGGGTAAATAAGGGTCGAGGGTACAGACACAAGGGTATCTACTGCGGGGTGAAGGAGCTGCAGCTAGACGCTACCCGGCGCCGGCCTTTGTGGCTGCTGTTATAAATATTCACGACGCTTTGGGCCAATCAACGCCTGAACAGCTTAAAGCACGCCAATCGGCTTGCCGCATGCAGATAAGCATCGTAACGCGCGGCTTTTCCTAAAACGGGCGGGGACTCGACAGCGGCTAGGAACGGAACCCGGAGTCGAAGGAGCTTGGTTTCCGGAGGAGTGTGTCCGCGCAATTGGACGACTTATGTCACTTCCTATCGGACCGGCGGAAGTAGCCTCCGAGCGCGTTGAGCTTCAGAGAAGTGGGTTCCGGTCGTGGCAGAGGTGCTTGTGTTTTTGTCGGTACAGGAGAGTCGCTATGGCGGCGGTGGATTCGGATGTCGAATCGCTGCCGCGTGGGGGTTTCCGCTGCTGCCTCTGCCACGTTACTACAGCCAACCGTAAGCGGTGGCTAGTGAGGGACCCGGGTGGTTGCGGGCTTTCGTCTTTTGATCCTGGCGAAAGTTAGGGTTATAGGTAATCGTTCCTGTCAGGTCGGTTGGTAGGGTCTCTCACCTGCGTTTTTACTCCGCAAGTCCGAGGGGATTTGGAGAGTCGGGAAAGTCCCACCACATTACACTCCTTCTCAGTATACGAAATCTCCACAACGCGTTTCATTGTTTTATTCCTTCTTTAACCATCATCTATTGGACATATGCTCTGTGCCTGGTATTCTGCTGATCTTTAGGGTGGGGGAAAGGGGTTCAGAGATGAAGGAGCTCACCGTTTAGAGATGGAGAAAGTTTCAATGCTTTATAGATATGTTTGGAGAACTGTGGGACCACAGAGAATCAATAACTAAATCAGAGAAGCCCTACAGAGGACCTACTCAAAGGCGGGGACGGATGAAATAGATGGCATGAATGACTAGACCATAAGATACCAGTGAGGAAGAGACAGAAGATGGGTTTGGAAAAATAGACAAGGTTCTTGTATGACAGAGAAGGGGTTCACTGTAACTTCAAATTCCACTTTTTTTTTTTTTTTTTT